TGTGCTGTGCTGCTCTGTTTTCTCTACTTTTTTCTTTTTCAGGCCTTTCCCATGCAGGCATCGTGTTAGGTTGAAAGGCTTAGTCTGAGTCTTTTTCCTTCCAAATTTGCGTCCTGACTCATACCCAAAGTAAACATCCTTCAATATATAGTACTTCCCAAAGCTGCAGAGCAGCTTCAGTTGCTCTATAGACCTTTTCACGGGTGAAACTAATGGGTATTAACGGTCTCCACAGGTTAGCCAGGTTGCTAGTTAGTCACGTGTTACTTTACTTACAGCGAGACAGTGATGATGACGACGACGATGACGACCGAAGCAGTGATCGGGAAGATGGACCTCTAGAAGAGCAGATAGAGCGCTTGCAGGAGAAAGTTGAGTCAGCCCAGAGCGAGCAGAAGAATCTCTTTCTTGTTATATTCCAGGTAACAATGGGTGAGGTTGTATCTCACTTGTAGGTTTTATTGTGTGTGTGTAGGCCCACAGCATCATTTGGGTCTTGAATCTTCTTTGGACGAGGATATGGGAAAGGGTGAAGAGACTTATTGTTTTTTAAAGAGTTAGTTCAAATTAACCCCCCAGAAAGGACTGCTAGGCTCCCTAGAGCAGAATTTGTTCAGTTTCAAGTGCAGAGGAGCTCTTTGCTAGCGTACTGTTACTGAACAAACAGAAAGAAACTTGATTGTAAGTGGCTACTACATTCAGTGTCCCCCAAATGCAATAATTATTCCAACATTGCTGTTCAAAGCGTCTGTCACCTGTGTTATCTTGTCTGCGGTTAGGAATCTATTTTCGTTTTATAAGACTCGATCAGTATTTTTCCTATTCTTCTGCAGCGTTTCATTATGTTGTTAACTGAGCACTTAGTGCGTTGTGAAACTGGTGGAATTGACGTGTTTACCCCTTGGTACAAGAGCTGTATAGAGAGGTTGCAGCAAATCTTTCTACAGGTAAGTTTCACTTCTCTCTTTGGAAGGCTGTGCGCCTGGGTTGGATAGAAAAGCTTTTGTGACTTGAGAGCTGCGCACTTCCCTGAGAATAGCAATGGATGGCAGCACTAGGTCTTCTCAGAGGGCTAGCATAGTGGTTAGGCATACCTCTCAGGCCCTGTCCATGTCTCTGCTGTGGACTTGTAGAGTGACCGGTCCTCAGTTACTTCCCAGGCTATGAATATCTAGCAAGAAGATACTGAGATGCCTTTATGAACTTAGTTGAGCTCCACTTAACTACGTGGTATAGTACAGGGGAGGTCTCGAGCGAACAAGAACGCTAAAATAGATGTCTCTTAAACGAGTGGCAAAAAATGGTGTAAAATTCCTTTTAATAAGATACATAAAAAGGTATTAACATTTATTTTGGAGTTCTTCACTTTGTAGTAAACCTGGTAACAAGCACAGGTGACTGACTGACTGAAAGTGATAGAAAAATAGACCGTTATACCTGTGTGAACAGAAGTTATATTGAAGGATGGCAGACTGCATGGGAGTGGTGGTGTAATGATTGCCTGGGGTAAGCTCTTCCTTGGTCATAGATGTGACTTTAAAGCCAGTAGCATGAGTTTCCTGTGCTCTCTGTGCAATTACCTCTGTGCCTGGCATCCTGCACACAGTTCACGGTCAGGAGTGAGCAAGTACAGGGAGCACAGTGCTCCTCGAAACAGGGTTTCAACACACACTTCCTTCCAATTGGTAGTGGCTCAGGATCATGTTGTTTTTGTCACGGGCCGACGTGTTGTGGAAGTGAGATGTGCTTGTCAGTTTTGGTGAGAACATTTGACCTGTGATACTTACGTGTCTTGACTTCTGTGCTTGTTCTTTGCTGAAAAGTTGAATGCAAACACCAAAGTCTTGTTTTGTTTTTGTTTT